ACTACTCAATAGCATGATCGTCCAAAGGTGTAACGACCCGACAAGTTGTTTTGCTTTATAAAACCCTATTCCCCTAAATAAGATTTTCAGTACGTGCTTTTACACTTTTATGACTTGCAGGGATGGTTAGTTCGGCATTTGGAAGGGTTCGGGTTGAAATCGGAACACTTGGTTCCTTAAGGTTGGATAAAATGGCTAAGTTTGACTTCGGGTCAACATTTTGAGTAAACGACCTTAGAATTGGGACTTGATGGTTCCAATGGATTGGACTTGAGCTTATATTCGGATCAGGTTTTGGATGACCCGAGAGCATTTCAGCACCTTAGAGTGAAAGTTGGCTCTTTCAAGGTTTTTGATGTTCTTTAAACTTGGTTTGGAGTAGGTTTTGGTGATATCGAGGTTCAAATGGGATTCCAAGACAAGTAATAGTTCCATAATGTCATTTTAGACTTGCACACAAAATTTGGCATAATTCCAAATAGTCTACGTATGATTCGGTGCATTCGGATTGATTTGGAAACTTAAAGTTCATATTTTGATTCAATTTGGTTTTGGGGTGCGATTTTTGGTTTTGTTATGTTTTTTTTCATGTTTCAAGAGTTCGAGCAGGTCTGTATTATGTTTATAGACTTGTTGGTGTTGTTGGACCGCCTAGAGCTAAGTTGGGGAAACTAGATTTTCTAGTTCTAGTTTCCTTCTTCGCGAACGCAGGAGGACCATCACATTTATGGAGAAGGATTTTGGCAGTGGGGAAATTTTTCCTTCGCGATCGTAAGAAGGGGATTACGGTCACGGAGCCTTGAGGTCCCAAGCCTATGCGTTCACGTAAGCCCTATCACATGGATAGACCTAGGGAGGGGTCAAGGTCAGTGTTCTTCGCGTTAGCGAAGGTGAACTCACGTTGGCGAAAGACAGGGCTAGTAAGATCTGCGTTCGCAAGGTCCTTGTCGTGTTCATGTAGGCCAAGTCTTAATGGGCCTGGGCCATTTCCTTAGCAAACACGAGGCTTGTTCCATGTTTGCGAAGATGAAGGCAGCTGGGCAAAGACTTTTAAAATCAGGAGTTAGCCATTTTTAGGTTCATTTATTGAATTCTTGGGTGATTTTAGAGCTTCAAAACGGAGGATTTCAACCTAGTTATTGAGGGTAAGTAATTTCTATAGAATGTGATTTTAATACATAGATTATGGTTAGAGTTTAACATGTAAATTTGTGGAATTTATGGGTTAGATGAAAAACATAGGTTTTTGATAAAAATGAGATTTAACCACTAAATATTTTATGGAAATTAGTGAAAATCATATATTTGAGTTCATGACGTTATGGGTATCAACTTTCTTCGAAATATTTCTGGAATCCTGCCACGTGGGCCCGGGGTGAATTTTAGGAATCCTACATTTGGCGTTGGGTAATTACTCTAATAGTTGGAATATTAACTTTTGAATATGTATTGATTAATTTATATACCATTTGACTAGTTTTGAGATTGTTTGGCACCGAGTGAGGCTTTAGAGTGAATTTGAGGCCGGAAAGTAAGCTTTGAGACGAGGTAAGTCTCTTTTCTATGGGAATTACCCATAGGTGAATTGATTAATATGTACTCCTATTTGTGGGGGCTACGTACGCATGAGGTGACGAGAGCCCGTACGTAGCTACTCATTATGCTATTGTCCGGGTAGTCTAGGACCCAGAACATGCTATACCTACGATGTTTGCACCCTACTTGTTAACTTAATTGCTTAAATCATGTTGGAACTTGATAAAGGAATTTTAAAAGGTTAAATTTCATTTACTTGAATTCTTGGATGGGTCGCTTGACTGTTATTGAGAATTTGTATTTCTTTAAATATTAGCCTCTTAATAAATCTTAAATCGGCTATTATAAAGTATTTTATCTTTTGTGGAGAAGGCCGAATGCCTCGGTAAAAGATAGATGCATCTATGGTTCATGCCGTTCGACCCTCGGCAGTGCACAATTTAAATATTTTTTGTTGGATCGGGTCGTACGACCTCGACATGAATTGTGCGTAATAAATCGTTGGAACCATTTATAATTGATATTGCTTCATTGGCTTGAGATGTAAATTGTTAAATGATAGAAATAAATTTGGGATTTATTATTAGTGAAAGGAGTTCCTATTATTTCATCTTGTTGAGTTTTCAGCTATATTTATGTAATATAAGCATAGTTATAATTTCGACATTTTATTGTTAGCTCATAGTAAGTTTCAAAGTCGACCCCTCGTCACTACTTATTTGAGGTTAGATTGGATAATTATTGGATATATGTTGTTTATTTACTCATGTTACACGTCTACACTAAATGTGCAAGATTAGAGCTAGGTGTATCTGGATATCAGTCTAGCGTGCATCCTTGATTCCCGAGACTTCGCGGTGAGCTACCCTTTTGAGTCCGTTGTGCAACAGCTGGAGTCTTTCTTTTGCTTGTATTCTTTTGTCTATATCGCTTCAGATAGTAGGCTAGTATTACTTTGTATATTCTACTAGTTTCTCATACATTTGTGACACCGGGTCTTGCAGGCTTAAGCTAGTAGACACTTGATTGTTTTTGAGTTATCTTCATTATCTTTAGTGCTTTAAAAATCTTGATCTCTCATTTTTATTAAATGCTTACTTCTTATTTATGCAACAACAACAATAACAAACCTAGTATGATCCCAACAGGTGGGGTCTGGGGAGGGTAGTCTGTACGCAGACCTTGCCCCTACCTAATGCAGGTAGAGAGACTATTTCCAATAGACCCTCGGCTCAGGAATGGTAAAAAGAAGAGGAAATCAATGAAGGAAATTGAAGGAAGTGAAAAGAAAAAGGGAGAGATAAATGTAAAGTAGTACCAAATAATAGCAACAAGGAATACAATACTTGGGACGAACAAAACCACAAAACGTAAAAATCTAAGAATATGAAGGGACATTCATGCTACTAAGACTATCGGTGAACAACTAAAATCTACCTACTAAAATTCTACCTTAATCCTCGACTCCACACCCTTCCCTCAAGAGTCATGTCCTCATTGAGGTAAAGCAGCGATATGTTCTGTCTAATCACCTCTCTCCAGTACTTCTTATGCCTACCTCGACCTTTTCTCAAACTCTCCATGGCCAACCTCTCACACCTCTTGACAGGAGCATCAATGCGTATCCTCTTAACATGTCATAACCATCTCAGCCTCAACTCCCGCATCTTGCCCTCCACGGGGGCTACTCCCACTCTATCCCAGATAGCTTCATTCTTAATCATTCTTCAACATCCTTATCTCTGCTACTTTCATATTCTGTATGTGGGAGTTCTTTACTGGCTAACACTCAGCCCCATACAGCATAGCCGGTCAAACCACCACTCTATAAAACTTACCCTTAAGTCTTGGCGGCACATTCTTACTAGATAAAACACCGGAAGCAAGCCTCCACTTCATCCATCCCTCTCCGATGCAATGTGTGACATCTTCGTTAATCTCTCTATTACCCTATATAATAGACCCGAGATACTTAAAACTCGCTCTCTTGGGGATAACGTGAGCATCAAGTTTTACCTCTATGTCTGCTTCATGGGTCCCATCACTGAATCTGGACTCCAAGTATTCTGTCTTGGTTATACACAGTTTGAAACCTTTAGACTCCAAGGTCTTTCTCCAAACCTCCAACCTCGCATTAACTCCGATTCGTGTCTCGTCAATCAACACTGTATCACCGGGAAATATCATGCACCAAGGCACCTCCCCTTGGATGTGTCACGACAGTGCATCCATCGCCAAGGCAAATAAAAATGGGCTAAGAGTCGATCCCTGGTGCAACCCCATCACCACAAGGAAATGCTCTTAGTCACCACCCACAGTCCTCGCCCGTGTCTTAGCATCATCATACATATCCTTAATCACCCTAATGTATGCTACCAAATGCTGCTAACCTCCGAACACCTCCACAAGACCTCCATCGGGACATTATCGTACGCTTTCTCAAGGTCAATAAACACCATATTCAAGTCCTTCTTCCTCTCTCTATACTACTCCACTAATCTCCTTACCAGATGAATCGCTTCCGTGGTGGAATGCCCTGGCTTGAATCCAAACTGATTCTCGGAAATAGACACGCACCTCCTCACCCTGGCCTCCACTATCCTCTCCCAAACCTTCATAGTGTGACTCAATAGCTTGATACCCCTATAATTGTTGCAATTTTGGATATCACCCTTGTTCTTGTAAAGCAGAACCATCGTACTCCACCTCCATTCTTTGGGCATCTTTTTCATCTTAAAAATAACATTAAACAGCCCAGTGAGCCACTCCAAACTTGCTCGCCCCACGCTCTTCCAAAATTCCACCGGGATTTCGTCTGGCCCCGTCGCTATGCCCCTACAAATCTTACGCATCTCCCCTTTCACCTCCTCTACCGTAATCCGCCTACAGTACCCAAAATCCCGCCAACTCTCGGAGTGCTCCAACTCACCCAACACAATGCATCTATCCCCCTCCTCGTTCAACAGTTAATGGAAGTATGCCCACAATCTTCTCCTAATAAGTGCCTCATCCATCAATACTTTTCCATCCTCATCCTTGATGCACTTGACTTGGTCTAAGTCGTAGGCCTTATTCTCCCTCAAATTGGCCAACCGGTACAACTTCTTATCCCTGCCTTTGCTCCCGAGCTCCTCATACAAATGAGCAAATGCCACGTTCTTAGCCATCATAACTACTAACTTCACCTCTTTCTTTGCCTTTCGGTAACACTCCCGATAAGTCCTTTTTTCCTCCTCGTTTGTACTCTCCGCTAGCTTCAAATAAGCAGCTTTCTTAGCTTTCACTTTACCTTGAACCTCTCCATTCCACAACTAGTCCCTTTTATGACCCCCAAGAGAGCCCTTCGTTACCCCTAAGACCTCTCTAGCAGCTACCCTAATGTAATTCGTAGTCGCGAACCATATAATAGACACATTCCCCCTACTTATCCAGGCCCTCATAGCCAACAACTTCTCCCCTAACTCCTAAGCTTTGTCCTTGGTCAAGTTATCCCACTTGATCTTAGGTTTCTTGCACCTCGCCTTCTTCCTCCTACTCTTCTTGATCTCCAGGTCCATAACTAGGAGCCAATGTAAGGTCATGAGGTGCTCACTTGGGATGACCTTGCAGTCAGTGTACAGACCTTTATCGCATTTACTGTAGAGAAGATAATCAATCTGAGTCTTTCCCATTGAATTCTGGAAAGTGACCAGGTGCTCTTCCCTCTTCAGAAAACTCAAGTTAGCTATAACCAAATCAAAAGCTCTAGCAAAATCCAATAGTGAATTCGCTCCCTCATTCCTAACCCTAAAACCAAACCCGCCATGCATATTATCATAACCCCTAGCACTAGCCCCAATAAGGCATTGAAATCTCTGCCAATGAAAAACTTCTCTGTGTGCGAAATACTACACACCATCTCGTCCAAATCTTCCCAGAGTTGCTTCTTAACCTCCTGGTCCAAACCTACCTGAGGAGCGTATGCACTAATCACGTTTACAGTAAACCCACCAACTACCAGCTTGATACTCATCAACCTATCATTTACCCTCCTAACCTCGAACATGAGCTCACTGAGGTCCCTTTCAACTAAAATACCTACCCCATTCTTACCCCCAGCGCTTCCTGAGTACCATAGTTTAAACCTTTCTACATCTCGTGCCCTAGTACCCTTCCATCTAGTCTCCTAAACACACGCTATGTTGATTTTCCTCTTCAGAAGAATCTTACCTAACTCTATACACTTCCCCGTCAATGTCCCAATGTTCCAAGACCCAACTCTCAGCCTAGAGGCTTTCTTACCCCCTTCCACCCCTGGACCCCAACCCCAGCCCCACCCGAGGACATAACCTCACTCTTACATCGTTCACTACCGCTACTATAAGGAAAAGGTATTAGGTAAATACTACCACTTATAACAAGTAGCGGGAACAAAGTACTACAAGCTACGAACCCGAAAGCTAAAAACAACTCAAAGGCGCTACTACGAGAACAGTAACGCGAGCTGGCACTAGAACAATGAAGCTACCACGTCTAAGAAACTACCCCTATGCAAACACATAATTAAAATGGATAGATGAAACCTTAAGCTTAAAACACTAATAGAAAGACAGAAAAACAATCAATGAAAAAATAAAATAAAGTAACTAATGGGAACTATAATCTCAACTAAGGTCAGACAAACAGGTGAGAAATAAAACAAGAATAAAATACAATACAACAAAAAATAGGTGTAGAAATACAATACAAGAGCTAAAGGGGCTATAATCTATAACTAAAGGTCACAAAGAAAATATGCAATAAAGATCCAAAATAAAATATTCAAAAGAAAGATGTAAACAGGTAGATAACAGTATAAACAAGTAGGCAAAGCTATCACTAATGCAATTAATTTGACAATTCTAGGGCAAATACTAATTAAGGATTCAAGAACAAAATAGACAGGCAAGGAGATATTATTATGCTACAATATCAAACTATTAAAATATCAAAACAAGAGAGGAACAGTAGAACCTAGATTGCAAACGGACAAGGGGAAACAATAATGGTGGCTTCAGAGAGAACTCGAATTGAAAGATTCCCAATTGATGTTTTGACCGAGGAATCAAGAATGAAAAGTTGATCATCCCGAAATTAGCAATTGTACGTAATCGGATTGATTCAACAAAGCAAATGAGAGTGAAACCCGATGTATTGAAGACGATCGAAGAATTCCCGGCAACGATAACCAAGATTTTACGCGGTGGAGTTTGCACCATTGAGCCAAAAAATCCTTTAAGGTTTTGAGAGACAACAGATTCAAACTCCAAATACACAAAATATGTTCGAGAGAAAAGCAACAATTTCGAAGCGAAGACCGCGAAGCAATGGCGAAACTCGAATCGAAAACGGAAATCTCCAATTGGGCTCAACCTCAAGTGACCTCTATCCTCCAATTTCAAAATGAGAAATCGAAAATCCAAAGGTTACTAGAGGCCGAGGTTGAGGCCGAAGGAGGGAACCAGTCCGAGGTAGGGGATAAGGACGTCCCAGAGTTACCCCAGTTGTACCACTAGTGGATCCAATGGAGGATACCAATATTGAGAAGTAGGGAGATGTGCCTACAGTAGAGCCAGCCCCGGTATATTTCATGTCAGCACCGGGCTTTCAGGAGTTTATGGGCCGTATATTGTGGTTCATGGATACTATGACCCAGTTTGGCTTATTTTCAATACACCCGAACATATCTCAGGCGGGAGGGGGAGCTAAGACCTCTACTGCTCAGGCTCTTGGGAAAGAAACTGTTGTATATCAGACACCAGGCACACTATTCCTGGGCAGGGCCCAGATAGTAGCAGCAGTCGTACCTGAGCCCAGACAGTTGCGACCGGTGAACCACAGAAGCTATGAGATAGAAGGACTAGGCTACACTCTCCTGTCTTTGGGGGTGAGCGACATGAGGATCCACAGGACATTAATGATCGGTGTAGGGATAAACTGCACAACATGAGAATATTGGAGTCCTATGGGGTGGATTTCACTACTTTCTATCTAAAAGGCAGGGCCCGTAGGTGGTGACAGTCTCATCTTCTCAACAGAAGCAGGTTCTCCTCTTATGACTTGGGATCAGTTTACCCGCCTTTTTTTGGATAGGTATATTCTACCCTCCTAGAGGGAAGAGTTGCGGCTTCGGTTTGAGTAGCTCTAGCAAGGTGAGATGTTAGTGATCGATTATGAGGCGAGGTTCTCTGAGTTTTCTCACCATGCACTTATGATACTTCCTATAGAAGTGGAGAGAGTGCAAAATTTTGTTGTGGGGTTGCACTCAGGTATTCAAGCCTTTATGGCCCGGGAGGTTGAGATGGGGACATCTTATCAGATAGTAGTGGAGATAGTTCGTAGGATTGAGGGTTACTGCTAGAGAGGTACAAAGAAAATGCAGCGGAAAAAGCGGGTCCATTATTCTGGAGAGTTTAGAGGTGCGCTGACTAGGGGTAGAGGTCAGTTTGGGAGGGGTCAGCCTAGCAGACCCACATATCCAGCACTGCCACCTCCTCTGGTGCCCTAGTGCGACTTATTTAAATGCCATGCATAGAGAGTTCTTACCGCCTACCAGTTATTCAGGGTTCTTCCAGTGGATGCCCAGACCATCAGGGTTCTTCTAGTGCCTATTTATGTGCCATGCTAGAGAGTTCTTACAACCCAATAGCTATTCAGGGTTCTCCCAGTGGGTACTTAGGCCATCAAGGTTAGAATTCAGGCCAACATATCACCGTACCGAGAGGTTGTTTTGAATGCGGAGATTTTAGTCATGTGCGGAGTAAGTTTTTGAGATTGAGGGCTTGGATCGAGGTCTTTTTGTCCTAGGCTATGGGGCAAGGCATCGCAGCAGGGCCAGCAACCCATGATTACAACACCAGCTGTCCGGCAGCCTAAAGGTGGAGGGCAAGGGGTAGGGGCATCCTAGAGGTGGAGGCCAGGCAGGTGGAGACCTGCCAGCTACAACCCTGTCAAAGGGGGCCAACCAGTTGGCACTCCACCTAGGTTTTATGCTTCTTCGGGCCGACCACATGCAGTGGCCTCAGATGCCTGATCTCAAGTATTATTTCTATCTGCGTTAGAGATGTTTCGATATTATTTGATCGAAGGTCTACCTATTCATATGTGTCATCTCTGTTTTCTTATTTACAGGATGTTCCTCATGAGTCCTTAGGCACACCTGTTTATATGTCCACTCTTGTAGGAGATTCTATCGTTGTGGATCAGATTTATTATTCCTGTGTTTTCACATTTTGTGGTTATAAGACTAGAACGGATCTTCTGTTGCTTGATATGATCGACTTTGAGAACATCATGGGCAGGGACTAGCTATCCCCATATTACGCCATCCTTGATTGCCATGCCAAGATTGTTACTTTAGCGATGCCAGAGCTGCCTGAATTGGAGTCGAAGGGTTCGTCTGTCAGTACATCTGGTCAGGTTATCTCTTTTCTGAAGGCTCGACATATGGTCGAGAAAGGTTATTTAACTTATCTAGCTTATGTTCCGGATACTACCGCAGAGGCTTCGACGATTGATTCAGTGCCCGTAGTCCGGGAGTTCTCCAATGATTTTCCTTATGATCTCCCAGGAATGCCACTAGATAATGATATTGATTTTTGTATTGATTTGGCTCCAAGTACCTAGCCTAAATCTATCCCACTGTACCGTATGGCACCGAAAGACTTGAAGGAGTTAAAGAAACATCTTGAGGAGTTTCTAGCAAAGGGATTCATCAGACCAAGTGTATCACCTTGGGGTGCACCACTATTATTTCTGAAGAAGAAATATGGGACTATGCGGATGTGCATTAATTACCGCTAGCTGAACAAAGTTACCATTAAGAACAAGTACTTGTTGCCACATATTGATGATTTGTTTGACGAGTTGCCGGTGGTAAGCACTTACCTTATGATTGATGCTGGAAGTGGTGCTCCAAAATCACTCCAAGATCGGCTCCCATGGAGGAAATAAAATGAAAATAGCCGAATTCCCATTTTAAACTTCACTGCCCAGGTCCGCCCTTCTTCACAATCGCAGAAAGATCATCACGATCGCGAAGGCCAAAAAAAAATACTGCCTCCAATTTCCTCTTCACGTTCGTGTTAGCTTGGTCGCATTCGCGAACCTTTGTGACCACCACCCTTCGCGTTCGCATTCCACTAGCCACATTAGTGAAGGCCAACTACTCCAAGCCCCACCCTCTTCCTTCCATGCATTTGCCGTAGCTCACTCGAGTTCGCGTAGGCTGTTCCAGGCCCTATGCCGCGTTTACGATGAACAACCATCAGCAGTAAAAACATCCTTACTTCGTGAATGCGGGACTCCCTTCGCGTTCACGAAGGACAACACCAGAACCAGCAATAGTAGTATCCAAAACAGCCCGTATCGACCGAAACTACCCCGAAACACAACTGAGGCCATCGGGACCCTGTCCAATCACACCAACTAGTCCCATAACATAACACAAACTTTCACGAGGCCTCAAATCACATCAAAAAACATCAATGAATCTCACCCCAATTAGATCTTAGTGAACTTTAGAACTTCAAATGTCCACATTTGATGCCAAAACCTATGAAATCCCATACGATTGACCTCAAACTTTACACATAAGTCACATTTGATAGTACGGAGCTACTCTAACTTTCTAAATCGGAATCCGACCCCGTTATCAAAAAGTCTACTCCCGGTCAAACTTCCCAAAGACCTTCAAATTCCAACTTTAGCCAAATGACCCCAAAATGACCTACATGCCTCCAAATTCACACACGGACGTGCTCCTAAGACCAGAATTATCATATGAAGCTATTCCTAGGCTCAAAATTCCAAACGGACACCGATAGCATTAAAATACAATTCAACCCAAATTTATGAAATCATTCTAAAATGCCAACTTTCCACAATAAGAACTAAAATGCTTCCGGGTCATCAAAAACCCGATCCGGACATACGCCGAAGTCCAAAATCATCATATGAATCTGTTGGAACCTTCGAATTTCGATTCTGAGGTCG